ATCATGTCAATTTGAACATGCCACGTGTATTAATCATGTTACACAAGTCGTGTCAAGTTATTTGTGTTTAGAGTCAAGTAGTGTTCGTGTCAGAATTCGAGTTGATAAGATTTTGATAGGAACACATACCAAAAGTAACTACGCTTAAATATTATAATTTCTATGCTTGATCATAACATTTTAAGATCTATCGTTCTTTTCACAGTTGTAATTTAACCTAAAAAAAATTAATTTTAATTCGACACCAAAATTTATAACATAATATTTCTCATATATATATATATATGTCCATAGGACATGGTGACGGTTGCAAGATGGGGCCTTCGATGTTGATGCTGTTATTGATACTTTCAGTAAGTGATTTGAACTAAGTTGTTCCTTGATTTGGTCGGCATAAAATTAACCATTGTTGCACAATGACCCCTATTTCCTCTACAAACAAGCAACTAATTGTGGGTCCTTGATGGGACATTTTCCGAGGATGAACATAAATTTGACGCGTGTCTTTGACATTGAAGAAACCTCTCATTATAGTGAAGACACGTGTCCTTTACACCGAAGACATCACCAACTCTCTAAAGATGACACGTGTCCTCGGCATCAACAACACTTAGAGATCTCTAGCGAAAACACGTGTGCTTGGGGCCGAGAACACATTTTACTCTTTAAGAGGTGAGATGCGTTCTCGGCACCGAGGACACGTGTTTTCCTGCGTGATTAGATCTCAATGACTTTTCTAACACATGGCTCCAGTATGGGTTACTGACGGTTACAGTCCATCAATCTCAGAGTTTGACAATGAATCATTGACTTGCTTTCTCAATAAAATCAGAATGGCAGAATGAACAAGACCAACAACCAAGAGGAGTTAGACACGTGACATGAAGTACACGACATGGAGTAAATAGACAAAAATACCTCAACTAACATGCAGTCATTCAAGGAAACATTTGATAATCCCACAGAAGGATGAGACATTCATAATAGCTTGGGAAATCTAGCAGAATGAGCATTAAATGCTCTGGAACCTGAGCATTTAATGCTTGTGCATAGAAGAAAGAACATTCAATGCTCGGGAGTCCGAGCAATAAATAACGATGTCTTCACCATGCAAAATAGGAGGTGCACTACCTAATAACTGTGCACTGTCTACTACCTATCAGTTAGTAATGATAACTTTCATGGAATATATAAATCTCTCTCTAAAATTCAAAGTAAAGGCACGCAAACTCACTTCTCAGAACATATACAGTGCTTTCCCCTTCTCCTTTCTCACAAAAACTGAATAGATTGTTGGAGGGGATACGCCGAAAAATATTCTGACGCCTTTTTAACCCTATTTTTTGTGCAAGGAACCACCTTGGCTCGCCGGAATCAATCAAACAGTCCCTAAAACAATTCATCACCACTCCTTAGACCACATTTGGCCGCCCTTTGCCACTGGATCACCGACTTTCAAGGTAAATACGAGTTCACGAAGAGAGTGAACTGTCTTTTTTTATTTATTCGCGAAATTTATCTTGCACAGTCCCTTACTGGAGGGCTTTTTTTATAGAATTATGAGTATAGTTTCTCAAAATTAAGTTGATAATGTATTGTTAATTAGAAACTTGGATATCATTTGAAAATGTTTTTAGAGTGTTATTTTTATAAATATTTTCTTAAGTGGCATGTGTTTTGATTTTTTATGTTGTTTCCAGTACGTGTTCCAGTTTACTCTTTTCCTCTAACCTTAACTTTCATGGAATATATAAATCTCTCTCTAAAATTCAAAGTAAAGGCACGCAAACTCACTTCTCAGAACATATACAGTGCTTTCCCCTTCTCCTTTCTCACAAAAACTGAATAGATTGTTGGAGGGGATACGCCGAAAAATATTCTGACGCCTTTTTAACCCTATTTTTTGTGCAAGGAACCACCTTGGCTCGCCGGAATCAATCAAACAGTCCCTAAAACAATTCATCACCACTCCTTAGACCACATTTGGCCGCCCTTTGCCACTGGATCACCGACTTTCAAGGTAAATACGAGTTCACGAAGAGAGTGAACTGTCTTTTTTTATTTATTCGCGAAATTTATCTTGCACAGTCCCTTACTGGAGGGCTTTTTTTAATAGAATTATGAGTATAGTTTCTCAAAATTAAGTTGATAATGTATTGTTAATTAGAAACTTGGATATCATTTGAAAATGTTTTTAGAGTGTTATTTTTATAAATATTTTCTTAAGTGGCATGTGTTTTGATTTTTTATGTTGTTTCCAGTACGTGTTCCAGTTTACTCTTTTCCTCTAACCTTAATCACAAGCATAGTAGCGTACTTTTGCAAGTACGTATGCGTAGTAATTATATAAAAATACTACAACAATTAATATTTTTAGTGACAAGTTTTTTGTCACTATAAATGCGTATTTCATCACTAAAGAGGTTTAGTGATGATTTTTCTGTCGTCACTAGAAGTTTGTTGCTAATTGTTTATAGTGACAAATTAGAATAATTGTCACTAATTCTATAATTTGTAGTGACAATATTATTTCATCACTTAAAAAATATATTTAGTAACGAATAAAATGGTCACAAAAGACCTAAAAATTTCTCATTAAAATAGTAATAACATCACTAAAAGTATAAATATAATGAAAATATATTTTCATTATAAACTATGTTACAGTGACAAATGTTGTTTGTCATTAAAAGTCTACTTTCAGGAATGAATTTTAAATTTATCACCAACTGCAGACCTTTAGTGTCAAATTAAGGTTGTCACAAATTATAGTCTTTAATTATGTGACTTTCAATGACGAAAAAAATTTGTCACTAGAAATTGAGATTGAAGATGAATTCTCATTTCGTCACTCAAACTCTTTCAAAAAAAATTGACCCATGAAAATAACTTAATAAGAGACATGTTACAAAACCAATAATTTATTGTCTTGTCATTCACATCCAAACAATATATGACAATTAACATAATAATCTAAAACCAAAGAACTTAAAATTAATTTTTCTCAAATAAAAATATCATACAAACAAATATAAAATAAGTGTATGAAACAAGTATTTTTCCACTAAATAAAAGATGCACAAATATTGTTTTGTCTGTTGTAAATAAGTCGCGCCGCCATCAATTAATCTGCACATAGGAACAAAACAAAATGGTGTTATTATGTTTTCAACATCTATAAACTGTTGAAGATTGGTGTAACTTTTGTAAGTCACACCTCATAAATTGAGGTTCCTTTGCATAGATAAAATAAAAGCAAAGAAAAAGAACCAAGACAACACCTAAACAGATGTTCTAAAATTTCAAATAAAAATTTGATAAATCCAAATTCAAGCCAATTCAAATCAACTCAAATAAACATAACAAGATCCACAAATTATAAAGTCAATTTGTCTTTGAGAGATACTATGTTGTATACATGATAATGTATGTGATGTCCATATCATTGAACAATTGATTAACTATCCTATGTTTCTATTGCTTCAAGTAAATTCAAAAGACAATAACAACAAATTCAACACATCTACAAAAAAAAAAAAAATGACTAATCAACCACAACCACAAAAGAAAAATTCTTTCCAATAAGCCTATAAGTTCCAATTATTTTACACTAAACAAAAAAGTCACAAGAAAAAAATATATCAATTTTCACATAGCAAACAAATTTTACTCAATTTTCACGATAAAAGTCTCAATAGATAAATTAAGGAACCATTTTGTGTAAAATAAGTTTTAACACACAATATTTACACTATAATAATGACAATTCCCCAATATGCAAGAAAGTAAATGTATAATTTATATAGCTTACCATGATGTAGGAGTGCTAGCCAGAAGCCCTCCAGAAGTCATATAGGCCTAAAATATATTCTCAAACTAGGTCTTTGTTGGGACTCTATCATCTGATTTTGGGATTATATTTTTTGATTTTGAACCTTTACTCGCATCACCATTACTGTGTAACAAAAAAAAATCACCCATTACAAAATATAAGCATTTGCAAAGAGGAAAGTGAGAAACTAAGTTGTTATTCTCATTAGTAAAAACACTTAAATAATCTACCATAAATATCAAATCACTTAGAGATCATGGCAAAATACTACAGAACCCAAATTTGAAATCCCAAATGAATCCAAATTCAATTTGGGATCTCTAACAATGCTCTAGTCAAAATTCAATGTCCCTGAACTATAACACCAACGTTATAATAGTTTTTACAGTTTTTCATCTACACACCTTTCATTACAATTGCCATCACAACATTTCCACTGCTAGCAATGTAAATTCATAGACAGTTGCATTGCATAAGAAATTGAACACTATCCTGGAAGAAAAAGGACTATAACAAACAAAGAACATAAGAAAATATCCAACCAATTACACAAATTTTAATTTTATTAAATCAATTAAGGAACAAAAATTATAACCTGAATTAATAGAAGGTACAAAAAAACCAACTAACTTAGTGTATTAAAGAAAAATACCTTATAAATAAGTAGTTGGTTTGTAGGATCAGTTACTAGTCTCCAAATCAATAGCGTTCAAATCTTTCCTTAGCCCAAGTGAAATTCAGTTTTTCTTTTATGACTGCAGGTTTAATCGAAAGGAAATAAACATAATCTTCAAAACTTCAGCAAATAATTGCAATAACAACGTAAAACTGAATCAATGCAAAAATAAATGTAACAATCTGATATTTAGTTTTACACAAATTTAAACTAAACCCGAAAAGACATTTTAAAAAAAAAAAAACTTGACCTAAACATATCTCAACTAAAACGAAAAAAATCATCATAAATATCCTACGTTGTTCATAAGAATACTTGGTCATAAAGCATTCATGTCAACTACTTTAAAAAGAATTTGTAGGTTTGTTCAAATCCCACAGCACAGAACATAAAATTATGTAAGCTAATAAAATTAACAAAGCTCATGGTATAAAGATACATAATTCACTTTGCTCAAATTGTCAACTTTACTACTTGACTACCATAGCAAAAATGACACTTTCACCTCCTGGCCTTACGCATAGGGAGAGAAGATTACATCAGATCATGCTTGCTGATTGGGACTATGAAAAAGTTGGCAAATCTGAACGTGGGAGAATTAATGATAAGAGCTCAAGACCTCATGTGACAATATTTGATCGTATTGAAAAAAATTACGCAATGATTACCATGAGGTCAAAAGACAAGCCTAAGCTGTTGTTTGATACTGTTTGCACTCTAACTGACATGCAGTATGTAGACTTTCATGGAGTTGTTCACATTGGGAGGATGGAAGCTTATCAGGTAAAAATATATTTCTTAAAAAGAAAAGTACGACGTGGGAGTGGGGACTAGCTTGAATAGGGTGATTACATAACTCAATGATGAATTATTTGGAACCTCCTCTTTGGTTATGCTTAGCTGTACTTTCTTTATCTTGTTCACATTCACAGCACAATTCCATCGATTCTAATTTAAGAATATAATTGGATTACATTTTTATTTGTACTCAGGTATAGTATATTCGACACGTTGATGGGGTCCCTATATGCTCAGAAGCTGAGCAAGAACGCGTCATGCAGTGTCTTGAAGTCGCCATTGAAAGGCGGGCCTCTGAGGTATAGTAACTTTTCTAAAACAAAAATTTTGGTCCATTAAGTCAACCAATGATTTTTCTTTAAAATTTAAGGTTGTTGCAGGAGATGGAGCTAGAATTGTTAATAGAAGATCGGGTTGGACTCCTGTTAGATATTACGAGGATCTTCAGGGAGAACAGTTTGTGTATTAAAAGAGCAAAAATTTCGACAAAAGGAGGGAAAACCAAAAATACTTTTTATGTGACGGATGTGTCTGGTGATCCAGTTGACCCTAAGACAATTGATTCAATTTGTGGGCAGATTAGACCAAGTATACTGCATGTTAAAATGAACTATAGCCCTTCCCCAAATCCTCCCCAAGAGAAGAAAATGAGCTGCCTCTTTGGGAACTTCTTTAAGGTTTGAAAATTTCAGAATTTGAAATTGATCAGATCCTACTCTTGATAACTGCATCCCAATTTAGTGTAAGAACTAGAAGTAATGTAGATATATCCGCTCTTCAACTAAAGAAGGAAGAATACTAAGGGGTTAAGGACATTCTGAATAGGTATCTCTCTTTCCTTTAGTGCAGGGAGTGTGTAATGTGTTGTCCCGATAGTGAATAGAAGAAATCAAGAAACCATCTGATACTGTAAAAATTACTCAAAGATCTAGTCTTTGTATATCATTATGTGCTATAAGTAGACCATGTATAGTGTGATATTACTTAAATTGTATAGCAAAAATAGACGAAGATTGTACAGACAGTTGAAATACCCAAATTAAACACAAACATTCAAAAAATCAAATTAACCCAAATTCAAAAACTAAACACAAATCACACACAGATTTATGTGCTGCTGCTATTGTGTGCTGCGTTGTGTGTGTTATCTGTGTTTGTTGCTGCGTATGTGTGTGATGAGACTTTTCTGAAATACCCTATGATGAAGACACGTGTCCTCGGTTTTACTAGAACAATGTTGCTAAGATCAAGCACCATCGGCGCACGAATGTCCTCGCCCCCGAGGTACCGTCATATAGGATCTTACATTCAGTATATTTTACAACCGACACGTGTTCTCGGTCTGATATGTACCTCGGTCGGCATACCTCCCTCGGTCCCCGAGATGAGCCTTTCCTCGGTGCCGAGAGGTACCCCGTCCTGGACGCTTCCTCTACTCCAGGATAAGCTATTGACGTACAGGTCACTAGCCTAGGCTAGTCTAGACTATTCATCATGGTCTCGTCTTACACAAGTAATGTCAGAACGTACTGGAATACAGAGGTCACAGCCAATAGGGGATGGACGCGTGGCATATAATATCACATCAAAGACAGACAAACCGCATGCCGTTGCTGACACGCGACTTGGGAAAACAAACAATTAATTGCACCATTCCCTTGATGAGACCGCATTCAATGCGGTAAGGTTCGGAAATGAAAGACAATAAATGCTCCTAATACAGAGCATTTATTGCATCCTCCCCGAGAGGAGCACATTGTACTGTCGGCATCCCGATGACCCAGTATTGATTGCTCGGGACCCCGAGCAGTTAATTAGAGAAGACATTCCTCATCAGAATCAATGCGCACGCTACCTGTGCCTAATGATCACCTACTGACCACACTGACAGCAATCATGAGCTTTTAAGGTATAAATACTCCTTGCAAAAGGCAAAGCGGGTATGCAACAACAAACTCTCTACTACAATACACACAACACACTCAGTGTTTTCTTCTTCCTCTCTCTCTCTCTCTCTCTCTCAAAGACTGACTAGATCGTCGGAGGGGATACGCCGGAAAACACTCCGGCGCCCTTCTAACTTGTTCTTCTTTGTTCCAGGATCTTCTTTCATCCTCACTGGATCGTTCCTTCCGCTCCCCAGGGTCTCCCGTTGCCGTTCCAAGTTACCACCGGACCTCGCAGGCTGTTCTAAGCAGCGTGTTTGGTCACTCAACCGGCTCACTCAAGTTCACCAAGGGAGAGATCTGTTCTCGTTTTTTATATTGTGCAGGATCCTGCACGCACAATCTGGCGCCGTCTGTGGAAAACGACTAATTTTCCTAGTCTTTTCTCTCTAAAGAACAGTGACCATGGTGAACACTCGACAGAAAGGGAAAGGACCCCACCAAAGGAGTCTCGAGTTACAAGCTCCCTGTCATCACGGAGGGAGGGATCACACCAACACGAATAAAAGTGCCTCTACTCGGTCAAGAGGGGTTACCCCTCAAACCAGTATGGGGATCAGGTCAGGGGGATCAGCCCCCTTGGCTCGTCAGCTGGCGGAGGTGATTGAAGAAAAATTGGTGATAGATTACGTCAGCTGAAAAGGACAATGTAAACGTCCTTAGCCGGCTCGACGAGTTTGCCGCCTCAGGGGGGGTCTAGGGATTCATTCCTTTCCCGTGGGCTTCCCGCCGGGAGGAGGAAACGAAGGATCTAAGAAACCACCTAAACAACAAAGCAGAAAGCTCTAGGGCCCCAAAGCGACCTAGAGCCGGCGAACATCATCATGACAACCTTTCAAGGAAAGCAAGGTCATTGGCCCTGGACGACCTCCGGCGAGGTTTGTCTAGACGGAGGAAGGGAGATGAATCCGAGGAGGACTCAACCCAATCCACACGACGCCCGGGAAATGAGGGCTTACCGATGAACCAAGGACTTCAGAAGGCATCCCGTCAGGGAAGAAGTTAATCTCAGAACCCGATTGGATTCCAGGAGGAAGGGTAAAGCTGTCCAGGATGAGGCCGAGGACGAGGCCATACAAACACCCTTTACGAGGGAGATCAGTGAGATGGAGGTCTCAAGAAAGTTTGTCGTGCCGCGGTTCAAAACCTATGACGGGCGGTCCGACCCCGAAGCCCATATCAGGCAATACAAGCAGATGATGTCCCTCTATCATTCGGACCAACGGTTTCTCTGCCGAGTGTTCCCTATGAGCTTGGGGGACTCTGCGATGAAATGGTTCGAGACGCTTCCCCCAAACAGTATTGGGTCCTGGAAGGAATTGACTAGGCAGTTCCTGGCTCGATTCATTACGGGGAGTAAGCGCCCCAAAGACATTGGATCATTGTTGACCCTCAGACGGAGGGAATCCGAGACTCTTCGCCAGTACGCCATCCGATACTGGGAAGAGGTCAATGAAGTAGAAGGCTGCTCGGAGGTCATGGCAGCGGCATCTTTCCGGCTCGGCTTGGCGAGGGACACGGACCTGTACCGATCCCTGACCAAGAAGACTCCCTCGGATATGGGGGAACTGATGGCCCGGATCAACAAGTACTCGAGGGTTGAGGACGAGATGGGAAGCAACAAAAGCCGAGCCCTCCAATCTAAGAGAAAGGAGAAGGAGCGCGAAGATATTTCCCGAAAGGGATTGCTACCCCATCCAGAGGGTTCGTCCAGAGGAGTTCACACTGTCTTCAAGGAACCCATCTTCAGGTTGCTCCATAAAATCAAGCACGAGCCGTTCTTCAAATGGCCGCCCAGGATGCAGGGCGACCCCTCCACCCGTGATCAAAAGGTTAAGTGTTCCTATCACCGGGATTTCGGGCATCGCACCGAAAGCTGTAGGGTGTTCAAATCGTTCTTGGAAAGCTTGGTCCGAGACGGACATTTGAAAGAGTACATAGAGCCTAGGCCAGAAGAGAGACGAGCCCTTGCCCCGACCGAGGAACCGGACAACATCATAGACGTCATCCATATATGTCCCCTGGATCGCCCCACGTCCAGGGAACTCGAGTCCGACCTCAAGAGGGTAGCCTTTACGAGGAAAGTAGCCGAGGGTGATGTAGGGCCATCGAGTAAAAGGGCCAGGACGGGTGAGCTTGCCATTACATTCTCCGACGCGGATTTGACAGGCGTAGTGACCCCCCATAACGACGCCCTTGTCTTGACCCTAAGAATAGGAAATTCGATGTCAAGAGAATTTTGATAGACTCTGGAAGCTCCTCGGAGGTGATGTACTTCGAAACTTTGAAACGGATGGGTTTTGGCCCCAAAGACCTCACCAAAGTCAGGACACCCCTCATCGGGTTCAACGGCTCATTCGCCTTGCCCGTGGGGAAAATCACATTGCCGGTTGCCACTGGTCCCTTTATCATCGACACAGAGTTTGTTGTGATCGATACGGACTCTCCCTACAACGTGATTATGGGGCGAACATGGCTGCATGCGTTGGGTGCGGTACATTCCACCTTCCACCAGAAATTAAAATTCGCCACGCCAGAAGGTATCATGGAGATCCGGGGGGACCAAGCGTCCGCGAAAAACTGTTTTTATTCGGCCGTTCGAGCCGGGGCATCCAGCCAGGAGAAGGGGCGAGCACCGGAAGAAATTATGGAAAAATAGCAATTACAGTCCGGGCGTCCAGGAATGGATGACCCCCGGATAGACCCGACTGAGCGGTCAGTGGAAGACCTCCGGAAGGTGCCCTTGATAGAAGGAGAAGAAGAGAGGTATTTCCTAGTTGGAACCTCGATGCCCACAGCCGAACAAGAGGAGATGATCAAGTTCCTAAGGGGGAATACAGACGTGTTCGCCTGGAACGAAATGGAAATGACAGGGGTAGACCCCGAGATAATCACTCACAGGCTGCATGTTGACCCGTCGCACAAGCCAGTAAAGCAGAGGCCACGACGCATGGCCCCGCATCACACCAACGCGGTCAACGAGGAAATCGACAAACTCCTGAAGGCCGATGCCATTCGAGAGATACAGTTCCCAGAATGGCTGTCCAATACGGTCTGCGCAAAGAAGAAAGGGGGAAATGGCGTGTCTGCGTAGACTTTACAGATCTGAACAAGGCATGTCCCAAGGATGACTACCCCCTGCCAAAGGTGGACCAGCTGGTAGATGCCACAGCCGGATATGAACGAATGGACTTCCTGGATGCCCGAGCAGGATATCATCAGATCCCTCTTTATCCCCCGGATCAGGAAAAGACGGCATTTATCACTCCGAAGGGAGTTTATTGTTATAAAGTGATGCCGTTTGGACTGAAGAACGCCGGGGCAACATACCAGAGGCTGATGAATCGGATGTTCAAAAGGCAGATCGGCAACACCATGGAGGTCTACATAGACGATATGCTGGTGAAGAGCAAACGGAGTTGTGATCATCTGACAGATTTGGCGGATACCTTCTCCACCCTCAGGGAGTATGGGCTGAAGCTGAATGCGGCAAAGTGCGTTTTCGGAGTGGAGTCCGGTAAATTCCTCGGATATCTGGTTAGTCAACGAGGAATCGAAGCCAACCCGGATCAGATTAAGGCAATCCTGGACATCCGAAGCCCTCGCACTGTCCGAGAAGTCCAGAAACTCACAGGGATGCTGGCTGCACTTAACCGTTTCGTCTCACGCTCCTCGGATAAATGCAAACCCTTCTTTGGAGCAATCAAGAGTGCTGGGAAGAATATGTGGAGCCAGGG